TATATATATAGATATAGATTTAAATAATATATATTTTAAAAATAAAAAATAGAAAGAAAAAATTAAATAGATAATGCTATAGTTATAACATTAAATATTATATTAATATATTTGTATTCAAACTATTTTTTTTAAAATTAGATACTTTAAAAATCATTTTACGAATAATTTATATTAATACTTACGTTGAAATTTAGTTTTTCACAAACAATAATCAAGAATACGATTTTTAATAAATTTTAAAAGAAAATTCAATTATATAAAAAAAATGAAAATATAATAATAATAATAATTTTTTAAAACAGAAAATTGAATGACAATTTCATAAAATTGAATAAACACTTGAATAACCATGACAACTTTATTCTCTTTTATATATTCTTCCGCTGAAGTTTAAGGTCATGCATCTACTCAACTAGTAGGTTTATTAATCCTCTATTATCTATCTTTTCACTTGTCCACAGTTTATATTCTTTGCTTGGCAAATTATTTCCCTTGTTTTGCTCTTAGAATTTTAAAAAACAAAAGGAAAATTTGCTTAATTAATGTCATAGTTAATTTGCAACAATGACAATTTTTATACTGATATATAAAGAGAAAAGTTCTTAGATCAAATGTATTATCCAATGAATTTGCTAAAGGATGGGATGTGAGGATGCACACTACTCTAACATAACATAATAATTGATTACGTATATCACTCGACTTTTTGTCCTGTATTATTTCTTCTATTCTCTATGCACTGTTTTGTGTGCATTTTTTTTTTTTTTAATTTTGTTTCACATTTTACTGCTATATATTATTCAAGTTTTTGATATAAATCTCAGCCTTCATGACAACATGAAAAGAAAGAAACTTTCTTTACATCTTGTCACTCTCATGTTCAATACTTCGTACGGCATATTAAATAAAAAGCAATATTTATTACACTAGGGTATATCAATGACGTTGCTTAAGTAAACTCTTAACTATAAGAACAGATTCTATATTGTGTTCACAGGTAAGTCTGTGAGGAAGACAATTGTTAGCAATGGTTTCTTAAAAGTAAAAATTAATTTCTGATAAAAAAAAAGTAAAAATAACACTCTAATACTATCTTTACTATTATTTAAAAATTACAAATTTTGATAATCTAAGAACGACTCATTATATGAAAAACAAAATCTACAAAACCCAAAACTTATGATAAAAACCTATAACATAGAGTGTGTTAAAAAAGTTATGAAAAGAATATGGCTAACACCTGTGTTTAATATTTCCCAGCTAAAAAGGAGTTGAGCAATTTAAATTAATTTGACAGTTGGAAATGCTATAAAATTGGAATTTCCTTCACGGATAAGAAAAGCCAAAATAAGCCAAGTCTCCCCTATTCGACATTTTTAACCTCATGATTTGTAGGAAATGGAATCTGAGTAGATTAAAATCTTCGTGATTGGGATTTAAGCACTAAGCAGCATAAGAAGAAAACTTACTGAGTTGCAAGCACTATATATTTGGTTACACAGTCACCTTAGAAAAATTACCGGAACTGCTATTGCATCATTCTTCTTCAAAGTTAAAATCTGAGTCAGCAATATAATGCATGGTAGGTTAAGTTGATACCTAATGTTTGAGTGGGAATGAAAAGGTAAACTAAAAACAAAGCAATTCTAAAACAAAGGGACCACAGTAGCAGATTTGTTGCAAGCTAAACTTAAGGAAAATGCAAATGAATGCTACACACAACTATTCCTCAGAGCAAAATTTCAAGACATGCACCACTTTTTAATTCTATTCCTCTTTAATAACATTCTTATTTTCCTTATTATATTATTTAAATATTTTTAATATTCTCTATCTTATCTCATTTTAAGGTATTTTTACACATTACTCACACGAATATATATTTTATGCATTATCACACAATTAGCTAAACAATTTCTCTCTTAGTCATTTTAAGGTACTCTCATTTTCTTTTCTTTTTTTTTTTTTATGTTATTAATATTAATTATCCACTTACCACTAATTTTTATCAGAAAATTTATTACTATCTTTAATAGGAATTTTTTTTTCCAACTCCTTTTCTTGACTTTTAAAATTCAAACATGAGACTTCACTCAATAGAGTCTCACTTTTTTCCAATTTGTATATGTGATTTTTTAACCGTTAATCCGTTAAGTTTACAGTATTTTATCTTCATTTTTAATCTGAATTCTAATTATTTCTAAAATATATTTTTAATAGTTAAAGATGATTTTATATTACAGTTTAAATTATTTATTGTAAATTTAAAATATAATTTATATATTTAAAAATAATTATTTATTGTAATATTATAACTTTTTTTTTGCATCATTATGAAATTATAACTTATATATTAAAAAAAACATTTATAGATATGTATAAGAAAAATGGAAGAAATAGAGTTGGACCGCCAAAATTAAAACTAGTAAGACACGTGAGTATGTTGGAGGAATATTTTTTTGTCTCAAAGTTAAATAGTTTTAAATAATGACTAATATTCGTCTTGACTTTGAGTATAAACGGAGGCTACGTATGGGTGATTGTATATTTTTTGGTTTCATTATTTTTTCAGTTGTGCATTTTTTTAGTTTTTATTATTGGGAATCAA